AGCCGTACTTTTGTGAAACAACTTTTTTTTTCTGCACTTGAATGTGTATGGAACAAAATATCTGTCAAARCTGCGAAACTCAAAACGTGGTCTTWAATTCGAGCACGTTCAGAGAAGCTGCAGTGCAGCAAAACTCGAGTTTCCTTCCTCCATCTCTTAGATTCAGAGGCTACACCTTGAAACTGTACATGCAGGAGCTCAACATCATGCAATACTGTAAAAAATGTATTTGAAAATTCATTACAAAATACACTAAATTTACTTATCCTCAACTTGCTTTGTTATTTTGTTGTTACTGGCCCTACACAAAGCTGAATTGAGCTCATTACTTCAACACGTGGTGCTCGTGGCATCATAAAACACATTCAACAAGATAATTTTAAAAAATAACATTTTTTTGTAAAACAACATGTGAACAGTTTATGTTGACCATTCTAACAGCTTTGCGCCTTTGTTTGCTTTACCCACAGACATGAAGAGTAGACTCCTTCTTGCCTGCCTGGGCACTTGAAATATGGCCGCCATTTTGGAGCGGTCATCCTTTCTACTTGGCTAAACCAAAACAACAGAAGATGCTGCCTTTTTATGCAACCATTTTGTTATCGTTTGTATTTTGTGAATAGAACACTACATCAGTGTTAACCTGACTATGAAGGCTAACTAAGACTTTATAAATCGTATAAAGCCTCAGTTCTTCACCAAGACTGTTTTAGATTAACTGACTCGAGAATGCTAGGCTACAAAGAAATAAGTTATTTATGTTTTAAAATTCACCAGCTAGTTTTACACAGACTATATTTCACATATAGCTAACTCACCCAGAAGTAAGATACCTCTGATGTTTTATTCCCACAAAATACAGACAATAGAACAACTGGTTGCAATAACTTTCAAACAAGTTTACTCACATTTCAGCAGCTTTGGTTCAAAACAAGAGTTCTGTTGATGTAAGGTTCTAAGAAATTTGGAGATGGAAAATAGAAATATAGGGGGAACATGGGAGGTGACGCAAACAATGAAGAAAATTAGATTGATCTCCTTTGTACAATGTTTTTGTGTTGACACTCCCAAACCTCTCATTTTCATTTTAAAGGTTTCCCAACGACAAAGAAGAATGAGTCTTTAATAGATGTGTATATAGTCTCACCCAACCCCCTGGTCCCCTGGGTGGGGTTGGGTGGCTCTTCAAGCTTGGGTCCTCTACCAGAGGCCTGGGAGCTTGAGAGTTCTTCACAGTATCTTAGCTGTTCCTATAGGACTGTGCTTTTCTGGACTGAGATGTCAGAATTTTCTCCAAGTATCTGTTGGATCCATTTTTCCAGCATGGGGGGAGCAGATGGGAACTTGCCTGGAATGGTAGATCTGGGCCTCAATGGCGCTTGTACTCAAGGACTGCCCCTTTGCTGCCATGATCAGTGCTTCTGCGCCRTCCTTCAGTCCTGACCTCTCCAGCCAAATCAGCCACTTCAACTCTTTGTCAGTGGTACATTCCACGTAGGGGTACCACAAAGTATGACAGCTCTTTGGTGGCTCAGATGTGATTTGCCAGAGGTGGTCCATGAATGGGCCAGCATCAGATAAGCCAAACCAAAACCAGGCCAGTTATGGCACGCCATCTTAAAGGGATCCATGATTAGTTGTAACATTAAACTTTATTTGATAAACATTTATTTTAACTGTAAAATAAAGACTGTAAAAATACTGTAGGGCTGTTTAGTTTTGTAAATTTTTTAAAATATATTTTAACATGGATGGAGCCATTTTATTTACACGCAAAGCATTCTGGGTAAATGATGACATCAACTAGGTCCTCGGTGTGAGGCTGATAGCGAGCTATATCCACCCTGAAGGTTAATCTTGGACAATATCTGATGATCGACTCTTAAATGAAACCAGAGAGCGTTGACAGAGAGGAGAAGGTAGAAATGATTCAGCCTGGAACTGAAAATATGGATGGAGGACAACAGAGCTGCTTCATGGAAGAAGAACCTCAGCTTAGCCTGTTAGCCTTTGCACTAGCCCTCATGCTATATTGCCTTATATGTATTAGCTCAGTGCTAGCGCTACAAACAAGCTAAACTGAGGTCCTCCATCCATATTTTCAGATACAGCCTGAGTCATTTTTGTGTCCCCCTCTCTGTCATGTGGATGGAGGACCTCAGTGAGGAGAGGAGAATGTGTAGCGCTGAGCTAATACATATAAGGAATATACTGTAGCGTCGGGGCTAACGTTAAAGCTAACAGGTTAAGCCGAGGTTCTTCTTCCATGAAGCAGCTCTGTTGTCCTCCATCCATATCTTCAGTTCCAGGCTGAGTCATTTCTACCTTCTCCTCTCTGTCAACGCTCTCTGGTTTCATTTAAAAGAGTCGATCATCAGATATTGTCCAATATTAACCTTCAGGGTGGATATAGCTCGCTAGCAGCCTCGCACCAATGACCTAGTTGATGTCATAATTTACCCAGAATGTTTTGCGTGTAAATAAAATGGCCCCGTCTGTGTAATATATTTTTAAACTTTTAGTTTAAAAATGATAAAACTGAACATCCTACAGTATTTTTACAGTCTTTATTTTACAGCTAAAGTATATGTTTATCATATAAAGTCTAATGTTACAACTAATCGGGGATCCCTTTAAAAACAGTGCCATCATTGCCAGACCTGGCCCATGTGTTGACAAAACACTCGTCATGCCAGCAGTGCCAGCTTAACACCAGATCTGGCCCACATCTGTCTGCTGTGTGGGATGGATGGATGGATGGATGGATGGATGGATGGATGGATGGATGGATGGATGGATGGACATTCAGTACATGAGGTAAAATACTGACATATTTATAGCCTTAAAAAACTGCAACTAATCTATTAATAGATGTGACTTTTGGATGAATTCACCTCAGTACTGTTGAAGGTGTATCTGTGGAGGGATGTGTGTTTTTTTTCCTTTATCATTACTATCAGCTGTCTGTAGTACTGAGTTTAAAACTAAAAAGCTTTAATCTTATTGTTCATGCTGAATTAGGGTGATTCTAATTGCAGTGTCTTTTCACACGTTATGTTGAATTTATCCACTGAATGCTGTCTTTGGTGGCATTCACCCACTCATCCCCCCCTCCCTCCTTCGGTGTTAGCTTTTGAGATTTGTGAGGGGAATGATCTTCTGCAAACACTCTGCTCTTCTTCTCGATAGAATTCCTCCATGGGTTGAAACAGAGCAGTGTTATTAGGCGACTTCGAACACAGTCACAGTCTGCGGGGGGGCCCGTGAGTGGAAAGATGCTGTCCATTAGCTGTCAACAATGACCAGCGGGTCCACCCTCCCATGGGACTGGTAAGCAGGGCATCGTCTTATCCCGAGTCTGGCTTAGAGATCACACAGGAGCTTTTGTCTCAAGCAGCCTGGAGTCTTTTTGTAGTCATGCCTCTGGGAAAGGCCGAGCCTTCACGTCCGTGGCCCGTTTAAAGAATGGGCTTTCTTCTGGCCAAGGCCACGACAACTGTAAAGAGATTAATTTAGGGGAACACCAAGAAACTACGGAGTAGATTTAGAAATGGGGGGCACTCCTCCTGAGACAAGTTTGGTCTCCTCTTCCAGACTCTTCTAGTGCTGACCTCCCTTCGCCACCCTTGTTTAATAAAGCCTGGGCCTTGGTCATTATTTTGGGCAGATGGAGTTGGGGGCAGGCAGTGAAAAGAGTTGGTGTCACTCCTGAGGAGAGGATGGTAGGGATGACAGAGAAGAAAAAGCAAATCAGAAAAAAGATCAAAAGCAGAAGCTCGCCTTTCACTCGCCTGAAAGCGCTAAAGAGGATAAGGAACGATCAGGCCTGGGGTGTCCTGTCCTCACTGGCAATTAGACTCAGCTGATGGAGAGAAAGGCATGAATGGCAGGGTTCAAGGCCCTCTCTAGGACTCACACAACGGGAAGGAGTTTTTTTCYCCGACGCCTCCTTTATCTTCCTCTCCTTTCAGAGTGTCAGAAATGCAGCTGAAATATCTCTCCAAAAAGACAGCACAATCCCCCAATGCCAAACCTTAATCACGATAGCTGATGAGTTTGGGGGGGGGGGGGGGTGTTTGAGAAAAAAAAACATTCTTTTCACAATTCATCTTTACATTTTTATAAAGCCCAAGATTCAAGGGCGGGATGGTAGGCTTATGTGTGTTAATTAAACCAAATAAATTACAGTTCATATTTTCATGACAGTAGAGAACATGTTACAATCTGGAAACAATAAATAACTTCTTTTGTACTTTTAAAAATGTTCAGGTTTGATACAGCTGAAACTAAAATGGAGCCTTTTTACGTTGGATTCCTCATTCATTAAAGACACTTAAAATGAACAAATCTGTAAGACTTTACAATTAATTAATGCAATTAAAAATCTAATTTATCTTGTGCCCCCGATTGAGGCAAAGCCAGGTTGGGTTTTGTAAAACCGATTAGACTGCCTTAAACAATTTAAAATTCCTATTTTAGGGAGCACAGTCACAGCAACATGTCCCACAGGAACCTATTACTATCTGCTACATATGCACGAGTTTCGAAAGGCTGTCGATCGTCCCCATGAAGGAACAAATGCTTCTGATACAACTTTAACAGCTTTTCATATCAGGCACACTGGAGATTCTTAACTCGAGTCATCAGAGAATATAAGCACTATTAGGGTTCAACACATATTATTTGTAAAAGCTGTAAAGAAAAGAATCAAAGACAAACAAAACTAGTTAAGGTTAGTACAGTCAATGGTTTACAAAAAATAAGTCAAAATTGACTGAGAAAATCCTTGGGGGATTAGAGGATGTTTAAAGAGTAGGTTTGTCTGTGGAGTCCACCCTGTACAGCTTTGTTTTAGGCCTAGTAATGTGGACCCCAACCCATAATCCTGCTGTAGACACACCCGAAGAGGACAGTATAAAGACCCTAGACTGAACACAGTCAGACATCAAGCTTCAAGGAGTCTCTCCACAGCAGATCTCTACAGAAGCTCCTCAGCCTCCACACTGACGCTGAAGATGGCTCCCTCTGCCAGCCTGCTGCTCCTGCTCCTGCTCGGCCTTTCTCAGGCTCTTCCTCTCCTGGAGAACAAAGACCGTGATGGAGAAAATCATGGGGATGAAGGTAAAGATGCGGACCATGATGTATACGATGATGAAGAAAAACAACAAGACCATGATGGAGACAATAATGGGGATGAAGATAAAGATGTATACGATGATGAAGAAAAACAACAAGACCATGATGGAGACAATAATAGGGATGAAGATAAAGATGTATACGATGATGAAGAAAAACAACAAGACCATGATGGAGACA